GTTTTACTTGACAAAGTAAATCATACTTTATTTCGAGGTTTCTTTGGTAAGTTGAAGTTAGGCTGTCATTGGGGCTTAAACTTGGCCTGTGTTTTCTAGGCAGATGATCTATCACCATGTATACTGGAGGCACACCTCCAGCAAAAATGTGTAGGTGTGTGTGTATGTGTATGTCTCCATGCCTCCATATCCTCTCCCTCCCTCTCCCCCTCCCCTTTCTCCCTTTCTCTCTTTCTCTCTTCCTCCCTCCCTCTCTCCCTTCCTCTCTTCCTCCTTTCCTCCTTTCCTTCTGTCTAGTCCTGGGGGTTTGAACTCAGTGTCTTGTATTTGGTAATCAGGAACTTTACCATTTGAATTACGTTCCTAGCCCTTCTTGGTAACTCTTTGCCATTATTTGTAGACAGATTTTATAATCAATCAGCTTTATCTATACTAAAAGAAATTTGAGTAGGTTTTGTTTGAGACTATTTTAAATGTAATAGAGTGGTTTGGAAACACAGTATTTTTAGTATTACAGTTTATCTCACAAAATTATGGTATTTTCCATTTGTTCAGATCTCAGTTGATGATTGTCAAATGTATTTGTTTTGTTGAGGCATTTTGTTATTTCTATAATGTATGGATACATTGAAGAACAGTGTTTTCTATTTGATTATTGCAGGTGTTCAATAAAAATGTAAATGTTTTTAGTTACATAATATTCTTGAAAAGTAATAGCTACAAATTCAAATGATACAGTTGAATAGAAGTAACCTTTTAAATTTCTACTCAGGAAGGCTAGTCTAAGGCAGAAAGTATCAAGATCTTGTCTCAAAAGCAAAATAGAAAACAACAGAGGGTGGGAGTAGAGTGTAACACACACACACACACACACACACACGACTTTAACACCAACAACCTCTTTCCTATTTAGTGCCAGTACTGGGGCTTGACCTCAGCGCCTTCTCATACTCATGTTTGGTGTTTTGCTCAATCAAGGCTGGCACACACACACACACACACGCACGCACGCACGCACGCACGCACGCACGCATGCTCACATGACTTTAAGACTAACAACCTCTTTCCTATTTAGTGCCAGTACTGGGGCTTGACCTCAGCGCCTCCTCATACTCATGTTTGGTGTTTTGCTCAATCAAGGCTGGCATGTTTTTTACCTGCCCTCCTTTCCCGATTTAGATTGAATCTTTAGACAAGACATTCGCACTAAAAACTTTTTTTTGTCAGTTGTGGGGCTTGAACTCTGGGCTTGGGTGCTGTCCCTGTGCTCTTCAGCTCAAGGCAAGCGCTCTACCTCTTGAGCCACAGCGCCACTTCTGGTTTTCGAGTGCTTTATTGGAGTTTAGAGTCTCATGGACTTTTCTGCCCGGGCTGGCTTTGAACCGAGATCCTCAGATCTCAGCCTCCTGAGTAGCTAGGATTACAGGCGTAAGCCACCGGGGGCTGTACTAAAAACTTTACACAAACTAGATACTACAAATTTCTCAGTAAGTTATTTAAACAGACACGTTTCCAAACAGTGTTCAAGTGGTAACAGTTCTAAAAATAAGGTTTTTATCCTTTTTCAAAGATAATTAAGCTAACTTTTATCTATCATGTTACTCTAAGAATCCATTTATATACTACTTTACCCTAATGCTTCTCTTAACTGACTTTGAAAACTGTAAACTACTCTCTGAAAGGAACTGTAGTATGTTTTTTGTTGTTAAATCTCTAGTATTTTATACAGTATCTAGCAAATAGAAGATCACAATATTCATTGAATAGGATAGTAAAACAGAAGTTTGATGCACTACCTTAAAAACAAAATTACAAGCCAGGCACTGGTGGCTCACGCCTGTAATCCCAGTTACTCAGGAGGCTGAGATCTGAGGATCTCGGTTCAAAGCCTGCCTGGGCAAGAAAGTCCTTGAGACTCTTATCTCCAATGAATGAGAAAACCAGAAGTGGTGCTGTGGCTCAAGCGGTAGAGTGCTCACTTTGAGCTGAAGAGCTCAGGGACAGCACCCAGGTCCAGAGTTCAAGCCCCATGACCAGCAAAAAACAAAAACAAAAACAAAAAAAAAACAACCGAACGAACAACCCAACAACAGGGCTGGGAATGTGGTTTAGTGCTATAGGTTGCTTGCTTAGCATGCAAGAAACCCTGGGTTCAATTTCTCAGTACCACATAAACAGAAAAAGCTGGAAACGGTGCTGAGGCTCAAGTGGTAGAGTGCTAGCCTTGAGTCCAGTGCCCAGGCCTTAGTTCATGCCCCAGGACTAGCAAACAAACAAACAACACCCCCCTCCGGTCCCTTTCCCCCCACAAAATTACACAGCTGGGTATCAGCTGCTTATGTCTGTAATCCTAGCTACTCAGGAGCCTGAGAACTGAGGATCATGTTTCCAAGCCAGCAGGGAAGTAAGAGAGACTTATCTTTATTTAACCACTCAAAAACCAGAACTGGAGTTGTGGCTCAAGTTGTAGGGCCCTAGCCTTGAGCAAAAGAGCTCTGGGACAGCACCCTATGCCCCACAAAAAGAAAAAAGAAAAGATTACAGTGCTTGGCATGATGGTTAATCCTGTAATCCTAGCTACTTGGAGGCAGAAATCAGTAGGATGGAGGTTTGACGCCAGTCTGGACACAAAGTTAGCAAGACCACGTCTTGCCAAATAAGCCAATGTGGTAGAGCACACCTGTAATCCTAATTTCTCTGGACACATAGGTAGGAGGATTATATTCCTAGGCTGGCTAGGGCATAAAAGCATCATACCATATTTGAAAACTACTGAAAGTACAAAACGCTAGGGCCATGAATCAAGTAGTAGAATTCCTGCCTAGAAAGTATATGGTGCTAAGTTCAAACACCAGTACTGTAAAACACCCCAGAACCAAAACAAAAATAACAGCAATAATAATACATTGAGAATTACAAATTAATTTTTCAAGTATGTTTTCCCTTTAACACACTTTCTAGTGAGTAACAAGTGTTATGAAGGAAATGCAGTTTTACTTTGACTGTTGGTAAGCAGTTTTTAATCATGTCATGTTATTAATAAAGGATCACTGTTTTACAGAATCATTCAGCAGGAACAGAGAAGTGGCAACTAAAATTTAATTGTTCATGTTGATAAATGCTTATTAATTACGTACCACAGTAGTGCATCTCTGTAAAATATCCATTATCAGACTTAGAACTACTGCAGATGGCTCAAAAGTCCACTCAGTAGATTTTATAGTACTGAGAAATTTTAAATAATCAATTATTTAGTTAAAATATAAGTTAAAAGTCAGAGATTTAGCTCAGTGGAAGAGTGCTTGCCTAGCAATTGCAAGACCCTGAGTTCAATCTTTAGCAACACACACACACACACACACACACACACACACACACACACACACACACACGTTAAACATCACTTTTTTTTTTTTTCTTGTTGGTTGTGGGCTTGAACTCAGGCCCTGAGCAGCTGTCCCTGAGCTTTATCCCTCAAGACTAGCACTCTGCCACTTTTTTTCTTTTATTTTTGGTTGGTTGTGGGGCCTGAACTCTGGGCCTGAGGGCTGTCCCTCAGCAATTCAGCTCAAGGCTAGCGCTCTACCACTTGAGCCTCAGTGCCACTTCTGGCTTTTTCTGCTTACGTGGTACTGAGGAATTGAACCCAGGACCTCATGCATGCAAGGCAAACACTTTACCACTGAGCCATTTTCCTAGCCCTCTAATTTTTTTTTAACATTCCAGCTGCTAGAATTACAGGTGAAGGTTTAGTTTGGTTAATTCCTTATTTTTCTGCATGTATAAAAAGATCAGAGAGAAAAACTGGGAGAGAGCGAGGTAATACTACCCAAAACAGTGTACTCTTTACTGACTTATATAAAACCTCTGTAGATCCCCTTTATAATCACAATTTTTAAGAAATTTAAAAATTAAAAATCCCACCAGAACATGATTGACAAAAAAGAACAATATAAGAAAAAAAAAAATCAGCAAGGCACTGGTGGCTCCTATCTATAATCCTAGATACTGGAGATTTGAAACCAGCCTGAGCAGGAACATCCCTGAGACTCATTTCCAATTAACTACTAAAAAACTTGAAGTGGAGCTGTGGCTTAAGTGGTAGAGGGCCAGCCTTCAGTGAAAAAGCTTAAGGAGAGTGCCCTGGCCAAAAGTTTAAATCCCAGGATTAGTATAATCACTGAATAATTTAGAAAAATTAACCCTGAAAAGAAGTTTGATGTTGAATTGTTTGATTATTTAAATGGGAAAGGTAAATAATATTTATAGCTCTGACTTGATTTTTACAGGAAAACATCTTTGGTCTCTCCACTAGAATCAGCATAAATGATATTATGAAAGTAATGAGTTTCCCTGCAAAGCATAGTTAGTTTTCAGTTTTAAAAGTTTTGAAGTTAAGGCTATTTATATATAATTTAAGCTAAACTAATTTTTAGATTTACAGGAAGGTTACAAAGATACTGTTGAGTGATTTACATTGTACCCACTTTCCTCATTATTGGTGTCTTTAGTATGTTACCTTTGTCAAAATTAACGAATCAATATTAGTATATTATTATTGATTAAACCTCATACTTTGCACAGATTTCCTTTATTTTTACCTAACTTGGTGTCATTTTCACCCTAAGCTTTGTATTTTGCAGTTGAACATTGTGTTTTAGCAAAAAATGTTAACTCAGATGTTTTGCAGTGTGAAATTCATGGCTGTTGACTGCCATGGCCACATTTTTATTTTTATTTTTTTCCTAAATTTTACTGTAAAGGTGCTGTACAGAGGGGTTACAGTTATATGAGTCAGGTAATGAGTACATTTCCTTTTGAACAGGGTTACTCCCTCCCTCGTTCTCTCCCAGTTTTTCCCCTCCCAACTTTCCTCCCCCCAAAGTTGTAGAGTTCATTTCCAAAATAGTGTCTAGTGGGTTTCACTGCTCACATTTTTATTTCTTAACCACATTTTTGTGTTTTATTTGTGTGACTTTTTGTTTTGTTTTCTTACTTAGCTTAAGAGGAAATATTTCAGTTAAAGCTGTTAAAAAAGAGGTAGAGAAGAAACTCCGATGTCTGCTTGCTGACTTACCACTGCCCCCTGAGCTACCAGGAGGAGATGATCTTTCCAAGAGTCCAGAGGAAAAGAAAACAGCAGCACAGTTGCACAGTAAAAGGAGGCCAAAGTATGTGCTTGCTTTCTACCTGCTCTTAAATTGGCCAGAAATGATTCCAGTCCATTTAAATTTATAAAATAAGACAATTAAGATGAAAAGTATTTCATATTTATCAATAAACTTAGAGTTTTGAAAAAAATCTTCATAATTGTGTACTTACAATGTCTAATAAAACCAGATTAAATTTTTTTTCAAGGTTTGCAATTATTAATTTCATGGGTACTTACATGTTAAATATAATTTCTTTAAGATAGCTAACACAGAAACACTGAAATTGAACAAGATGGGAGGTCAGAATTAGTGAGTGTGAATGAACTCAAAAATGGGCAAACTGCTTTGTCTTCCTTTACTTGTAGCTCCATTTTCCTCCTTAAGTTCATTCCCATTTTCCCACAGTCAGAATGGAGCAAGACTTGAAACTTGTAACTTAAATTAGTTTCAGATTAAGTGTCTAGAGAGAACTCTTTCCCTCATTAGTTAGTTTCCCTGTTCATTAGTTAAGGCAGTAAATTACTGATTCCCCCATCCTTTGTTTTGATGTTAGTACTGGGGCTCCAACTCAAGGATTTGTGCTTTTGCTTGGCTTTTTCTACCACTTGAGGCACAACTCCACTTCTGGCTCTTTCCTGGTTAATAGGAGGTAAGAGTCTCACAGATTTGTCTGCTCAGACTGGCTTTGAACTGTGATCCTCAGATCTTAGCCTCCTTAGTAGCCAGGATCACAGATGTGAGCCACTAGCATCTGGCTGTATTTTATTTCTAAAAGCCCTTCATAGAAGTCTTCCTGCTTCTCTCTGTTGATTCAATTTCTAGTCCACAGAAGAGTCAATATGTAGAAACTATAATTTGTTTTTCATGGTATCTTGTAGTATCAAGTTGCAGTGTAATTTGTCTTAGATCACAAATATGCAGGGTAAGTGAAATATAGAATAAAAATTGGGCAGAGGGTGGATATTGATTTTTAAACAGGTTGTACAACTTTCTTGATTGTATATAAGAACTTCAGAACTATATTTAATAGAATATGTGGGCCTCGCTATGGTGAAATCAAAGAAAAAGATATTGACTGGGGAAAACGCTGCGTGGATAAATTTGATATCATTGGAATTATTGGAGAAGGTACTTATGGACAAGTTTACAAGGCCAGGGATAAAGACACTGGTAAGTACTCCAAGTTTGAGGAATATTTGGGCTATGGAATGAACTTTATTTCTGTTTTTTTATCTAATGTATGACTGTGGGAAATTCCAAAGAAGTAAAATTCAGTTTTGTTCTGTTTTTTAAATCTTGTCTTAATCTTATTATGTGTATATATTTATGTAAATATGAGTCCCGTAGGTCAGTTATATATGCAAATACTATTTTAAATGTTTGGCATTTGTGATGTACGGTGTGTTAGGACTTGGGAATTTTTCCCCCTATTTTATGGTAATTGTTCAACTATTAGTAATGAAGGAGAAAATGACTTGAATTTGTCCTAAGTTGTAAAATATTTTTGTTTGTTTGCCAATCCTGGGTTTGAACTCAGTGCCTGGCACTGTCCCTGAGCTTCTTTTGCTCAAGGATAGTTCTCTACCACTTGAGCCACAGTGCTACTTCCGGCCTTTTCTGTTTATGTGGTACTGAGGAATGGAACCCAGGGCTTCGTGCATGCTAGGCAAGCACTCTACTACTTAGCCACCTTCCCAGCCCATGTAAAAATTTTTTTTCTGAAACGATACACTTCTGGACAATTCTTTTTCTCTTCATGGAAATTTATGAGACTAGAGTTAGCAGCATAATTTTTGAAACATAGCTTGGGTAAAGTTTTGAAAATTTAGGAAGAAGTAGCTGTGTTACAGTCTGTATACAGAAGCTGTGCATTTCCCTAAACAACACATAGAACTAGTATTTAATATTTAGTTATGATTCTTTTTTGCAATAACCAGTAGATTAAAATTACCAGGTATATTAGGTCATGCAATATAGTGGAAGAGACCTTATGATTAGAAAAGACTAAAGGCAGTATTAAAAAAAGAGATTAGCAGCTGGGTGCCGGTGGCTCATGCCTGTAATCCTAGCTACTCAGGAGGCTGAGATCTGAGGATCATGGTTCAAAGCCAGCCCAGGCAGGAAAGTCCATGAGACTCTTATCTCTAGTAAACAACCAGAAAACTGGAAGTGACACTGTTGTTCAATTGGTAGAGCCTTGAACTGAAGAGCTGAGAGACAGCACCCAGGCCCAGAGTTCAAGCCCCAAGATTGACACCTCCCCCCCACCAAAAAAAAAAGAGATGAGGTCATAATTACTAAAAACTGTTTAGTAAAGTATGGGAACATACTATATTATAGTGAGACTTCATAAAATGGGACAAGTTTTAAAGGTTGAAAAGATAAAATACCTTGAAAAGACAATTTGTCAACAATTTTTTCTCCACAATGAAAGTGGAATCAGCATACCTTATTGTAGTGAATTTTTTCTTACACTAATTGATGCTCAGCCCTCAAATCTAGAAACATCCAAAATTTGAAACACGTTCTCATCCAAAGCATTTTAGATAGGTACACTCAACGTGTAATAAGCTATGTGTACATTTTGTGTATTACTTAGATCTTGTCTGATATACTCAGTCATATCTAATTTTGTGGCATTTTAATGTAGGCAGGAAAAGCACAATCAGACTGTTGGATCAGTGGCTAGGATTGGAGTCGTAATATGAGTATGTTTTCTCTGTTGAGAGAGATTTGTGCATTTGTGATTTTAATGACTGTCTTTACCCTTCCATCCTTCACTAAAAAAATTTCCTTCTAGCTATTATCAATGGAAAACATAAAACAATGCATACTTAGTTATCCTTTCTAGCCAGTTGTACAGTATTATTGGTGGTATAAGTATTTCATAATTTGGTTGGGAGACTTAATTTCCTTTTTAGTTTTGGCAGTAGTGGAGTTTATTTCAGGGCCTCGTGCTTACAGGCATGCTACTTTTAGATAGGATTGTGGGATTTTTAAAAAATTTTTTTTATTTTTTTGCTAAGGGGCAGGCAGCCTTAGTCCACAGTCCTACCTAAGCCTCTTGCACAGCTGGGATTTCAGGTGGGTCTCACCATACCCAGCTTACTGAACTTGTTGGTTGAGATGGAATCTTGCCAACTTTCCCCCTGGGGTTGGTCTTTAACCTCATTCTTCCTAATCTCTACTTCCATGGTAGCTGAGTTTACAGGCAAGCAACCAGGCCTGCCCCAAGAAGACTTAGTTTCTTGAAATTCAAGTGTTATTTGATATGTTGACATCTAAAGTATTTAATTTGTGGGTTGTAATTTCAGGAGGTAGGAACAGAAATTATGAATTAAACTAATCTTAAACTTAAGAAAAGTGTTGTTTTCTTTTGTCAGCATGTAATCTTATTTTATTGATTTTCTAATAGGAGAAATGGTAGCTTTAAAAAAAGTACGTCTGGATAATGAAAAGGAAGGCTTTCCAATTACAGCAATTCGAGAAATTAAGATTCTCCGGCAGCTTACCCACCAGAGTATAATCAATATGAAGGAAATAGTGACTGATAAAGAAGATGCTTTGGATTTTAAGAAGGACAAAGGTATGCATGAAGATTTAAATAACCAGTTACTTGTGTTCTGATAGTTTAGATTTTGTCACTAATGCTGACTACATTACTGGGCTTTTAGTCAGTTAAGTAGGTCATATTTGCCAGTATGAACACTATGTGTTGTCATGTAGTCTTTATTTTTTAACGATTGAGAAAGCTATTTATAGTGGTGGTTAAGCATATTTATCCTATGTTTTTACATTAGGAAGTCCTTAACACTCAAGGAAACATTTTGTTAGACATATTTGTTATTAAAGTATGCAAGCAAAGGTCTTGCATTTAATGAACTATGTTTGTTGAAGCTGTCATGGAGTTAGCCTGTTTATGAATGTAGTTACTCACCATAGGGTGTATTAACACTGAAAGAAATGGTCTATTTCCGGTCAGTTTATTTTAGAGTTTTAAAACAAGATATTGAAACCAAAATTGACTTAGGTCATAATTTATTTCAAATAGCAATTGTCCTTTTTCCAAACTAATATAAAACAGATTTATGGATATGTTTAAGTTCATCATGGTCTGTTAACACACATAAAGTCTTAACTCTTCTAGAAAAGTTAGTTTAAAAATGATATACATACTATATGGTAATTACTTTACATCATTTAATTTCTGTTTGTAAATATTACACAATGTGGAGATTAGAATCATCTTAATTAATGTTTTATCTTTTGTTTTTTGTCCTGAGAGAGCCCTTATTTTTTAGCTTGATATATAACCTGATTTGTCCTTTTAATCTTATTTTTCATTGCTTCTTACTGTATGATAGAAAGTAATGTACTAGTTTGACTTTAGTTAAAAAGTCTGTGATTTAGTCAGGCTTTGGTGGCTCATGGCTATAATACTAAATACTCAGGAGGCTGAGATCTGAGGATCATGGTTCAGGGCTAGCCTGGGTGGGAATGTCTGTAACATTCTTATCTCCAATTAACTGCCAAAAAAAGCTCTTAAGTGGAGCTATGGTTCATGTGGTAGAACGCTACGCTTGAACAAAAAAAGCTCAGGGACAGGGCTGGGAAGGTGGCTCATTGGTAGAGTGCTTGCCTTGCATGCATGAGGCCCTGGGTTCTATTCCTCAGCCCCATATAAACAGAAAAAGCTGGAAGTGGAACTATGGCTCAAGTGGTAGAGTGCTAGCCTTTAGCTGAAGAGCTGAGGGACAGCGCTCAGGCCCAGAGTTCAGGCCCCATGACTGGCAAAAAACAAAACAAAAGAAAACAAAAGAACTTAGAGACAGTGGTTAGGCCCTGAATTCAAGATGCAGGACTGGCAAAATAAGAAGAAAAAAAAGTATTTTTTCTTTTTTGAGCCTCCTATTCCTTCATTCATAAAAAGGAAACATTATTTCTTACAATGCAATGAAACTTAATTTAAAACACTAAACACATGAAGGTGGTGTACAGGTGTTTGTTCTGCATTAACCTCTTGCTAAATTTAGTATATTTGCTTTTTCTCCAATGTACACTGTACCTTCTACTTTGATCTATACAATCATCTTCCTATCTGCTCTTTTTATTCCAATTTGCTCACTAAGCTTCATTCACATTAGTATTTAGGGTCCAGTAAATTTCTATGCTTAACGCTGTCTCATCTGAACATATATGCTATTGAAAAGCTGATTTTTCAACCCTGAGGTCTGGGCATTACTTCACCAGTATTTTTACTTTGTACCATATGTAGACATATAGTTTAAAATAACTTTCCAAGCTGAGCACTGGTGGCTCAAGTTTATAATCCTAGCTATTTAGGCTGAGATCTGAAGATTGTGGTTCAAAGCCAGCTGGGCAGGACAATTCATGAGACTTTTTAATCTCCTATAAACTCCCCCTGAAAAAAGCTGGAAGTGGATCTCTGGTGCAAGTAGTAGAGTGCTAGGCTTGAGCTCAGGGACCGGACTTAGGCCCTGAGTTTAAGTCCAACGACTGGCATAAAGCAACATAAAATAAAACAAAAAATTAAAATAACTTTTCCAAGTTAGTGAGGATATTACGTTGATTTTACTTGTTGCTTTCCTTACTAAGATGGAAACCATACTTGTGCTGAGGGGGGAAAACAACACTAACTGATATAATTGCAGGAACATAAGGGATTTTTAGTGACTAACAAATAAAGTAAGCTGTACTTAAATGATCTGTCTAAACTGTAAAACTAGCATACAGTAGTTTTACAGGGGAGTTTGTGACATTTTCACCCGTGTATGTAATGTATCCCAAATAATTTCACTCCCTCAATCACTCTCTTATCCATCTCCCTACTTCTTAAAATAATTTCTGTAGGTTTCAGTATTCTGTTTTTTAACCTGGTACTACACTGACCATTTCACTCTTATTTACCCTCTTCATTAGTCCATCCTACTCTTGTCAATGTGCCCTATTTCCCTTTTCCCTCTTTGTCCTTTTTCTTTTCCTTTTCTTGTAAGTATTATTTGCAATAAGGGGTTTTGTTATGGTATTCCTGACCTGTGTATAATGTTTTATTCAGAATAGCCCTCTTGCTTTACTTGTTGGTATTTTTGCTGGTCATGGGGCTTGAGCTCTGGGCTTGGGTGCTGTCCCTTAGCTCTTCAGCTCAAGGTTAGCACTCTACCACTTGAGCCACAGTACCACTTCTGGCTTTTTTTCCTTTTTGCTTATGTGGTGCTGAGGAATCGAACCCAGGGCCTCATGCATACGAGACAAGCACTCTACCACTGAGCCACCTTCCCAGCCCCATGGTACTGTGTTTTAAAATTTTTCACTTTTTTTTTTTTTGGTCATAGGGCTTGAACTCAGGACCTGGGCACTGTCCTTGACCTTTTTTTGCTTAAGGCTAGTGCTCTACCACTTTGAGCCACAGCACCACTTCTGGTTTTCTGGTGATTAATCGGAGAGAAGAGTCTCACAGACTTTAGCCTGGGCTGGCTTCAATCTGCTATCCTCAGATCTCAGCCTTCACTAAGTAGCTAGGATTATAGGCATGTGCCACCGGTGCCCAGCTACTTTTCATATTTCTTTTCCCTTTCCCACATCCTCCTACATAGTCCCATAGTTAAAATCATGTTATCTGTGTATATAAGTGCATGTGCACATACTTACATACCTTCTTGAATATAGGTATCTTTTAGGGCTAACCTCTACATATAAATGAAAATGTTAGATATTTGGCCTTTTGATGTTCTCTAGTTCCACTTATTTTTCTGCAAATACATGATTTCATTTTACTTGAGTACTACATAAGATTTCATGGTATGTGTTTTTATATATAGAGAAATACATTTTCTTAGTACAATAATTAATATTAAGCCAGATGCCAATGGCTCACTGTGATCCCAGATACTTAGGAGGCTGAGATCTGAGGATCATGGTACAAAGCCAGACTGCTCTGAAAAGTCCATGAGACTTCCATCTCCACTTAGTGACCAAAAAGCCAGAAATGAGGTATGGCTTAACTGGTGGAACAATAACCTTGAGCAAAAAACTGAGCGACAGTGTCCAGGCCCTGAATTTTATGCCAGGACTGGCATAAAAGTATTAAAATTTAGCATAATTTACAAATATCTAGATAAAAAAGTCTTTATGCAGTATGAAATAAAAACATTACTTACTAATCTTTGGCTCAAGATAAGTATCTCACTATTCAGATTAAAAAAGCAAATTACCAAAACAATATCACTGCCACTAGATCAAAAAACCAATATTATAATTGTGCACACATTCATTTAGCTCTGATGCTTTCATCAGTATCAATGTGTTTATACTAAGGAAGCTTGTGTACTTTGTAATTTGGTATTTTCCTGAAAATAGAAACAGAAGTGTTCCATCCTAAGTGCTGTGGCAATGTGTCACTATTTGGCCCATGTAATATGTCCTCATGTTATCTCCATTGTACTCTTTCGTTCCTACATGGAGGTATTAGTGCTCCACAGTAATTGCTTGGCAGATTACATAGGATTCTGGGAGTGGAGTCATAGCTTAGTGGTAGCTCAGCATGCTCAAGGCCACGATTATCAATCTCCATCATGAAGCAAAACCTTCTAAAAACTTATTTGGTAATGGTATTTGCTCTTGCTCTGGATCTCCCCTCCCTCCCTCCCTCCCTCCCTCCCTCCCTCCCTCCCTCCCTCCCTCCTTCTCTCTCCCCCTCTCTCCTTTCCCTCCCTCATTTTTCTCCCTCCCCTCCCCTCCCCTCCCCTCCCCTCCCCTCCCCTCCCTTGCTCTTCTCCTGCCCTCCCCTCCCTTCCCTTCCTTCCCTCCCCTCCCCTAACCTCCCCTTCCCTTTCTCTCTTTCCTTTCTTTCTTTCTTTCTTTCTTTTTTTCTTTCTTTCTTTCTTTCTTTTCTTTCTTTCTCTCTTTCTTTCTCTCTTTCTTTCTCTCTTTCTCTCTTTCTTTCTTTCTTCTTTCTTTTTCTTTCTTTCTTTCTTTCTTTCTTTCTTTCTTTCTTTCTTTCTTTCTTTCTTTCTTTCTTTCTTTCTTTCTTTCTTTCTTTTCTTTCTTTCTTTCTCTTTTTCTCTTTCTTTTCTTTCTCCCCCTTTTTCCCTTTCTCTTTCTCCCTTCCTTCCTTCCTTCCTTCCTTTCTTTCCTTCTTTCTTTCTTTTTCTCTTTCTCTTTCTCTTTATCTCCCTTCCCTTCCTCCCTTCCTCCCTCCCTCCCTCCCTCCCCCCTCCCTTCTTTCTCCCCCTTTCTTTTCCTCTCCCCTCCCTTCCCCTCTCCCATCCCCTCCCCCCCTTCTCTCTTTTCTTTTCTCTTCTCTTTTCTTCTCTTTCCTTTTCTTTTTTCTGCTGGTCTTGTGGCTTGTATTCAGGTTCTGGGCACTGGGCTTTACTACCTAGATCTTAGCCTCATAGGTAGCTAGGATTTTAGGTTTGAGCCATCTGCACTGTAACTTTTAACTTTCTAACTTTCTGCAAAGTAGTGAAAGATAGCATGTGTTCCCAAAAGACCTATCATGCTTTAGGACTTTCTGTCTTATCTCATTTTCTTAAAATTATCTTAACTCATAATGCCCTATAATAC